TGATTTCACTGCATCTTGGAGTTTACCCGCCCGAAAGAGTGCATCACACCGTTTATGGCATGCCTTTCGCCACAACGACCTCAGGTCCCAGCCAAAGAGCTGGACAAGGGATTCAGTTATGAAAAGCGTTATACATGCATCATCTTGACGTACCACCACCAAATCCTCATATATTTCATGAATGTTCGATTTCGATAATGAATCGGGGGAGTTGAGAGCAGCAGTGAAATGGTAGGCAGCTTCGTCGTAGCGTGCGCCATCCAAGGCCTTGATTCCGAGTTGAATGTGTAGATATGCCTAATGTGCGAGTTGTAAAGATGAGGGTTGATGCATATGACCAAGCATGGATGATACTTACTTGCACGATATCACATGCGAGAGTATCGGTATTCGGACAACCGGCAGCGAGCTCTTTGAGAAGCAGGTTTGCCTCGTCATGTTGATCTGCATTGAAGAGCGCGATGGCCTGAAATACGCGATGAAGGGAAGAGTATGCGAGGCAAATGTAACATACCTTGATCAATAGCAGAAAATGAGTGATTTCTGAATCCTGGTCCGTGTACATGGATGCAACATCAAATGCTGCCCTCGCATCCAGGACGCGACCTTTTCCACAGAGGGTAATACCCTTGGAGATATAGCCTGTCAATGAGGGCTGAATCCCAATGGACTATGTCACCGTCGAGTTAGCCCTGTATAAGGCGGCGATGATTCTCACCTTGATTGCATCCAGAAGGGCGCGGTCCCAGTCGTATTTTCGCGCCATAACGAATGACCGATGGGCGTAGGAAGTATGGTTATTCGGACTGGTGTTGATATCTTGAGTGAGTAGTTCTTCGGCGGTAGATAAGTCTCCATTTACACATGCGATACGGGAGGTCGTGAAGGCTAGGATCTGCAGGAAACATGCTCTAATTGTGGTATGTGTGAGCCAAGAACGGAAACATGCCTTTGAGCGATGGATGTAGGGAGTATGGTTGATATCTTGCATGAGTAGTTCTTCGTCAGCAGATAAGTCTCCATCTATGCATGCATCGCGGACTGTTGTGGTGGCAATAGTCTGCAAGAAGCATGCTCGATTTGTGGTATATAAGTCAGAGAGGGAAACATGCCTTTGGATGTATACTCTGAGGTACTGTCCACTCTGTGATCATTTTATTGTTACCTTCACTGAAGATGTGATTGCCGTCCACGGAGAAAGTGACGCATGAATTGGCGAGTGAGTGCTTGAAGACGGCAATGGTTTGTCGGTCTGAGAGCTGCCAGAGACGGATGTGGCTGTCACTAGATGTGGATGCAACGAGTGTGCCAGCAGGATGAATGGCAATGGCTTGGATGTGGTGAGTGTGGCCCGTCCAAGGATCACCGACCTGCTTCCAGGTTGTTGTATCCCATTCGCGTATAGTAGGATCTTCCTTATTGCCGCCTGTGAGAAGGCGTGTGCCATCAGGCGTCCACGCGAGCGACAAGTTTAATGATCTGTGACCCTTGAATGAGATGACGTGTTTCCTCGCGCCTGAATTGTAAATTTGAATATTATAGTTTGCTGCGATGGCAAGAAGTTCTCCAGATGGTGAATACCGTACGCAGTTGACACAAGTATCACACTGTGGAGAATCTATACGAGCGGGAGGCTTTGCGACACGCTAAACAGGTACGAATATCTCAGTATTCGTTTATGAAACTCTATTAACAAAACGTTGTACCTAAACAGGTACGAATCTACTTGTACGTCAGTACTCTACTCAAACGTTACAGTGGGATAACAACTCACATCTCAGTATTCGTTTATGAAACTGAGATGTTACGACTTTGGCTGGCTCTTCTTATACGGTGAGTGTGCCAGCAAGACTTTTGATGAAAACATATATACTTAAGAACAAAAAGATTGCCGACGTTGACACGTCGTCCATGTTCTCCGTTTGGAGACGCTCGCACTCGATGTGGTTCATTCTTCGGCCGTACTCTCCTTCTCCCCTTCGGCTCTGTCTCTCTCGGCCTTATGCTCCTCGGATACATCGGCTCTCAACACACACTTGATCGGATTTCCTTGCAGCTGCCAGGTTTTGGTATTCCACAGTTTCGTCATTCCTTCCCAATATAAACAAGCGGCCAGCACTGTTCCATCGGGAGAAAAATCCAGCGAGTTGATCGAACAGCTGGAGTGCCATGCTTCGATTTTGGTGAGTAATTCGCCAGTTTCTCCGTGCCAGACGATGACCTCTCCGATCAGTGCATCACCGCTTGCTATCAATCGCCCATCTCGTGTTACCGCCAAACTCCACACCCAATTGCGATGCCCTTTCATCTTCTTCAACGTAACACCTGTCTTCAAGTCCCACAAACGAAGCGTTGTGTCGTACGAGCCCGTAACCATCCGACGTTTATCAGGGAAAACTGCGACTGCAGTTATGCCTTTTTTATGACCTTTGAACCATCGCAGCGGAGTGGTGATTGTGATGAGCTCCGACATTTTACTGGATGTTGATGCTATGGAATAACGGACGAGGCTAAACTTTGGAGGGATTATGTCTTTCTCTAAGTTGCAGAGGGTGTATGGTGCGTTTTATGGTGCTTCACAGCTTGCCTCATTTCAATAGACGCCCAGGACAAGATTCTAAGGCTGTTCGTGCCCACGCCTCCATCACCGTAATGCACTCACCCGTATTGTCATACCCGCTGTCCTCGACAGTATGCACATCTGCAGTGCATACATGCGTCCGACTCTTGTCTTCGCAGCTTCCAGAATCTATCCCATCGCATCAAGTCGAGCAGTCCGTGCTTTCCAGCGCTCGAATTTGACTGTCTATCCTGCATGAATACCGTTGTTTTTCGTATCTAGCAGCTACTCCAGCTTATCACCAAGTTACTCCTTCGAACGCGTGTATATAGCTTACTGCAATATCGCTTCTTCATCCAATAGACTCCCAAGATCTCTGTGTGCATAAGATGCAACCAAATCTCGTGGTACAGCCTCGGAATATCTTCACCATCGCCACACTGCCAACGGCCGCACCTCACTGCGAAGCCCCTCCATCCTCTTCAATACAATACATGTCTTCAAGTCTCGCAACCGACGCGTCTTGTAATACGAGCCTGTCACCATATGTCGTCTATCGGGAAAACCTGCGCCTGCGGTTACGCCGCTCTCATAATTTTCAGGAACTCAAAGGACTGCGGTGGAGTCGACATCTTACTGGATGCTGGTGATGTGGAGCACGGCCAAGGTAGACTTTTGAAGGATTGTGGGTGTCGAAATTTAGGCTGCAGATGCATGTATTGTGCTGCTTCACCCTGTTGACTTGCCTCATGTTTCCATAGACACTCTGAACCCCATTCACCTCCACCTCTCAGATGAATACGATCCCACCATACGGAAATCACAATGGATAGGCATGACATTTATTTTCTAGTACAGAACACTCTCCCCACTAAAGTGGGTGTCGGGGATGTATATATGTGCTGGACCCTAGACTTTCCGTAAGCACACATCTATAATCACAAAGTCTACACATAGCCTACAGTTTTGCCCACAACTGACCCCGAGGCCCGAGTAGTTTTACTAGGTGCTGGCTCTTTTAAGTACTTGCCGACTCGCCATACCCCGTGCAGAGATAATGAGGTATCCTTCGAGAACTGATTCCCATTCTCATTATTGGTATGCGCTCAGTTAAAGATTCCTAGTCATGCATTATTATTATTATTATCTAACATATACAAGGACGGAACGTTTGATCTCGCGGAAATTCGCGTTTACTCCATGTGCGTGCCCATTCGAGCTCCACATGCACTCCAAGCGTTAGTGCACTCGGCAGTTCTATTTGTGTGCGTTCTTCGCTTCTCTACTCCTTTTGCGATTGTGCCCCACTGTTTCCAAGTCTTCTGAAGCTCCGTTGAGGTTGCTTGTTTGTCTCCTAACTACGCAAATTCATGGAGGTTCAAATTCTTCATACCGAAGAGATGCATTGCCTGCCTCGCATCACCTTCTCTTTCAATTTAGCGCGTTCAAGCTGGACCGTAAATCGAAAAAACGGTTTCCCCTGCTACCTGCTTATGCGACGACATTCAACGGATGTCAAGGACTAATGCTTGAGAAACTCGTGCTTGACCTACATAGATTCGTTCGCACACGGTCAGCTATACACCGCACTTCCAGGAGTATGGCGTCGCTGACTCAAAGAAGTTAAACGTTATTTCCAAGAGGAGAAGAGCAAAAGACAACAGCAATTCCAAATGCAATGCATCGGCCGGGTAATTATAGGGAGTCTGGACCAGCGTTATGCATTATGAGAATGTCAACCAGAAAATAAGATGTTTGTCACGCAATGAAGTAGCGTCTCGCCGGCTCCATCATACATATGTCAAGATTCATGAGCTAGCTTTCGTGGCTAGCGCTAGGCGAACCCATTCGTTGCTGTGTATTACATAATCGAACGATGTAACGACAGCGTCGTTTGTCAACATTCACCACCACGCAGAACAAATTTTGACCTCTGGCGACAATTACAACAGCCACCGCACTGTTACCGGGGGCCATGGATGTGGCTACTCAATTTTCATTTTGTGAGGGTGGCAGGCGGGCGGGCAGTGGGCAGGAAGGGGTTGTTGATAACATGCGGGGCCAGCCACCTCCCAATTGGGAATTCAACTGGCCGGGCGGCTGACACGACCTAGACAAACACCCCAGAGTCTATCAGAAGGTCACTGAAACCGCCTCATAGACTTGACCCTAGACCTTCCGTAAGCCTTACTTTCACATATCTATATATCTACAATATATAATCTTATGATGACCTTGGAGCGGTGACCATCCCCGTGCGTCTCGCGTGCCAGGGCAAATTTGAACCCCACCGCTCATCTGCGCCTGCTGGAGGCCGATTACTATCTTACTCCATCTCTTACAACATGCTGCCAAGTTCCTCACAACAGTATAATGCACTCCACATCGTCTTTGCAACGAAAGTTACTGTCTCCGACCATCTCTTACAAATCCTTTCCAGATGGCGCCTATTACCCTGCGTTGGCGAGTGAAAATAAATAGGTGCAAAGGCACTGCGGGTGTGCATTACATTAATATCGATGTTCTAGATGATTACATGTGTCTTGATACCAAGAAGACCAATGGCCTAGCTCCTGTTGCGTCTGAGGTTAGTGCAAACCTTCGACACCACAGCGCCATAAAAGCTGCGGAGGCTGGGAAGTCCACCCACCGTCGATATGCTCACATACGCACTCGTGAAGCCTTGAAGCTTGAAGAGGTTAGCATTGCTGCCAGACTGCACAGGACCTTGAAGCATCCTTCGCGTGGGCACCTTCACTCTCGGCCAAGCCTCGTGATGCAGATGACGACCTTCTCGCTGGTGCAGAGAGTATCTCGCCTGATGAAATTACTGCTGAATCTGCGGTTCTCGAAGAGTTGAAGAAGATTGAAGAAGTTCAAAATATTAACAAAGTTGAAGTGCTGGAGGAAAATGCTTTTGATTTTTTTCAACGAGGAATAATACCACAGGCTATTTTAGATGAGGCTCAACGAGATGGTGAATTGCAATGGCGAGGATGACGCAAACGGATGGCACGAGGTCAAAGAGTCTAGATATAAATATGACACAACCCTTAGCTACAGTTTTGCCGGTTATAACCTGCACAACTGACCCCGAGTAGTTTTACTAGGTGCTGGCTCTTTCAACCCGCTTCGAGGACTGGCAGGTCAAATCAGGATCCTAAGGCGCGTAGGTGAGTCATGTGGTTGAATCCTGGTTGCACAGTGACCTGCTCATACTCACCCCATATTTAGTGTCACAACCCAAGTTCTTGCAACAATCAACATCTGTGTCGCAAGGTTCGCCCACGTTCGAACATGCGCTAACAAACATAGATGCTGCCAAAGCAACAACAACGGCGAGGAAGGAGAAGCGCATTTTCTGTACGAGGTGATATGGAATCTTCTGAGGGTGGTCTCAAATGATATATCTGAGGATGGGGGAACACTATAGGACAACGGCCAGCTTTTATATTCTGCGTGACTCTATACTTATGGGTACGATTCTGATCGATTTGGCAGAATTGGTATTGCTATGTAGCGCTGTCGGCGGCAGAACCTACACGCGCACGCAACGCGGGAGTGTGTTTGATTGATGGTATCATGGACCCAATCCCTCGCTTCATCATTTGAACCTGCAGTGACCCCGCGGAACAACGCTCATTCTCGTGAACCTCGTCGATACTCGATATATGCACTTGCCCACTCGCCGTACCCCGTGCAGAGATCATGAGGTATCTTTCGAAAACTGATTCTCATTCTCATTCTTGGTATGATGCGCTTAGTTAAAGATTCCTAGTTATGCATTATTATTATCTAACATATACAAGGACGGAACGTTTGATCTCGCGGAAGAAATTCGCGTTTACTCCATGTGCGTGCCCCACCCGAGCTCCACATGCACTCCAAGCGCTAGTGCACTCGGCAGTTCTATTTGTTTGCGTTCTTCGCTTCTCCACTCCTTTTGCAATTGTGCTCCACTGTTTCACTTTCCATGTCTTCTGAAGCTCCGTTGAGGTCGCTTATTTGTCTCCTAACTACGCAAATTCATGGAGATCCAAATTCTTCATACCGGAAAGATGCATTACCTGCTTCGCATCACCTTCACTTTCAATCCAGCGCGTTCAAGCTGGACTGTAAATCGAAAACGGTTTCCCCTGCAACCTGCTTATGCGACGACATTCAACGGATGTCAAGGACTAATGCTTGAGAAACTCGTGCTTGACCTACATAGATTCGTTCGCACACGGTCAGCTATACACCGCACTTCCAGGAGTATGGCGTCGCTGACTCAAAGACGTTCGAACGTTATTTCAAAGAGGAGAAGAGCAAAAGACAACAGCAATTCCAAATGCAACTTGAATGCATCGGCCGGGTAATTATACCGGCGTTATGCATCATACACATGTACAGAGAGAGCAAAGATCCACGAGCTAGCTTTCGTGGGTAGCGCTAGACAAACAGATTCTAAAAGTGAAGTTGTTGTGTATTACATAATCGAACGTGATGGAATCCAATTGACTGGACTCTAAACTTGTCCCGCAAACACCAAAACTACAGCCATGTCCATGCACATATTCGGTCACGAGGTAAGTATAGCAGATTGACGACTTATCGTGCTCGACGTCACCAGGTTTCATCCAGGCAACCGAGGAAAAAGCAGAAAATGCCCGTCTATCCTCCTTCGTCGGCGCCCTCGCCCTCGGCGATCTCGTAAAATCAACGCTCGGGCCAAAAGGCATGAACAAGATTCTGCAGTCAGGATCCTCGGGAGACATCAACGTGACGAATGACGGTGCGACGATTCTCAAGTCCATCCAGCTCGATAACGCAGCAGCCAAGATCCTCGTTAATATCTCGAAAGTCCAAGACGACGAAGTTGGAGATGGGACTACGAGCGTGTGTGTGTTGGCAGCTGAGCTGTTGAGGGAAGCGGAGAGGTTGATTTCTATAAAGATACATCCTCAGACGATTGTGGAGGGGTATCGGCTTGCGAGTATCGCTGCGCTTGCTGCACTTGAGAAGGCAGCGGTCGATCACGCGTGAGTATTCGCGTTTTTCGCGTCGTTTTGAAACTTCTTACGAAACCGACTTTCTTAGCTCTGATGCTGCCCAGTTTCGTCAGGATCTCTTCAACATTGCTCGTACGACCCTGTCATCAAAAGTCTTGTCACAAGACAAAGATTACTTTGCCAACTTAGCAGTGGATGCTGTACTTCGATTGAAGGTACGTTTTAATTGCTGTATTTGACGCTTGTATTGACTATCTTCGAGGGTTCGACGGATTTGGAGCACATTCAGATCATCAAGAAGGTCGGAGGCAAACTCACAGACTCATACCTCGACGAAGGTAGGCTGAGAGATACAACAAATCTTACTTATCTCACGAGCGTACTCCCCAAAGGTTTCATTCTCAACAAAAGTATCGCTGTGAACTCGCCCAAACGGATGGAGAATGCGAAAATCTTGATCGCAAACACTTGTATGTGCGCGACCATCTCGTATTGATTTTGAACTGAGGCACGGTCCATCAAAAGCAATGGACACTGATAAGATTAAGATCTTTGGAGCCCAAGTAAAAGTAGACTCGACAGGAAAACTTGCTGAGCTCGAGCGGGCTGAACGGGTACTTGCCTGTTTGCATTGCTTTATTGTTTTTCTAACGACTCACTGCAGGAAAAAATGAAAGCCAAAGTAGACGCGATCGCTGCACATGGCATTAATTGCTTTGTTAACCGGCAGCTCATCTACAATTACCCTGAGTCTCTCTTGGCAGAGAAAGGTATTGTGGTGATTGAGCATGCCGACTTCGAGGGTGTTGAGCGGCTATCACTCGTCACTGGTGGTGAAATTGCGAGCACGTTTGACAGACCAGATCTAGTCCAACTTGGCAAATGTGACTTGATCGAAGAAATTATCATTGGCGAGGATAAGGTCGGCACGATCGTTTACTCACTGATCCTGCGCTGATCATAAGTCACAGCTCATAAAATTCTCTGGTGTGGCAGCGGGCGAAGCCTGCACTGTTGTGCTACGTGGTTCAACCAACCAGATGGTCGACGAGGCCGAGCGCTCATTGCATGATGCGCTTTCTGTCTTATCGCAGACAGTCAAAGAGACACGGATTGTCTTGGGTGGTGGATGTTCTGAAATGTTGATGAGCTGTGCTGCAGAGGAGGCCGCGCGGAAGGTCAAGGGCAAGAAGGCGATAGCTGCTGAAGCGTTTAGCCGTGCGCTGAGACAAATACCTACTATCCTTGCGGACAATGCTGGATACGACTCTAGCGACCTCGTTGCAAGGCTAAGAGCAGCGCATTATGAGGGGCAGTCAGATGCCGGACTTGGTATGATTGTATTCTTTGTCGGACTGATTCCGAACTTATAAGATGTTCAGATATGAATCAGGGCACCATTGGTTCGATGAGACAACTCGGTGTTACGGAAAGCTATAAACTGAAGCGGCAGGTTGTCCTCAGTGCAAGTGAAGCAGCAGAGATGATAATACGGTAAGCAGCGCGCCTTGCAAATAACGAGTTCTCCTTTGACCTTGGATATCAACAGGGTGGATGATATTCTACGTGCTACGCCTCGGAGGCGTGAAGCGGTATAAGCAGAGTAGTAGAAATAAACAAGGGTGCTGGTGGTGATCATCGACAATTGTCTGGAGTGATTGCTATGAGTCTCCGGCCATCGGATATTAAAGTCTGGATTTGGTGTATAATTTAATCTGCCACCCCTGTATTAAGTTTCAAATTTGCAAACGGTCGCTGAATGTGGCGCCACCAATCGTCGTCCATCGATCGTGTCAGTTTGACAAGCTGTTTCCATTCCTGCCTTTAATCGTCCGTCGACTATGGACGCGAAATGTCAATCATACGTGAGATCAGGAAATGTCATTTATTCGCCTTGCCAGGAAACTCAACACAAAACTAGTCCTCAGCGACAAATGGGAACAGGCCCCCTATTTACTTCGAAGAGTTCGGCACGCCATCCAATGAAACAGACATCCTCACACACGGCGTCTGCACAAAGTTTCTCAACAGATCCAGTGCGATCAGTCAGTCCAACATTGTTGTAATGTTCGAACGGATATGTGAAGACGGCCTGTACGACCGAGATCAGGGTCAATGGACGGATCGCAGCCACTACTCCGATATTCTACTATTCCTGAACTGCCTGACAGAACGCTCATATACAGCACTTTCCACGATGCCAGCTTCCGAGACGAAGCTTCCAAAGCGGCGAATCTGGGTCATGCATCCGACTGAATCACCATTGAAAGTCGCCTTGCAACAGGTATTTCTTCTCGTGAATCATGACTCTCAGGGCGTATCAGCCATGGATGAGGTGTACGCATTCGCAGAGCTTACATCTGATCATGGCCCACGTGATCAAACTGGTTCTCCTCTTCCATTCACCCCCAGCACCTCCAAGTCTCTCTCCCGATATAATCGCCCTTTTCTGTTCGGTCTATCGATCCAGAAATCAAACACTATGCACCTCATCAAACATGATCAACGCGGCATTACCGCAACCCCATTTCACATCCATCGTTATCCATGTGCAGTCCTCGGCTGCATCAGCACTTTGGCTACGTGTGATAGCTATGATCTAGGCTGTTATCACACAGATGAGTCCGCTTCCATTCAACACGACACTGTATCCTCCCGATACATCAAGACAACTTATCACCAAAAAGCTACTCGTTCGCGACAGAGTGCAGATCGTCACACACGCGTCAGACTAACAAGACCACCCGTCTTCGGGTCCTTCGACGGATCCTTGTTTCCTTGTAATTGCCCCTTTGGATGGAAATTTATCGTAGATTGCGGTGCCGCCCCCCGGGACCACGCACAGTTTCTGGATGAACTGAAAACCCTCAAAGGGGTACCAAAAATAGGGGCATATCGATCCATGGCGCTCGACTGCATGATCACCCACGACAAGAGACTTTTCGGTCCACAGCACCAGATAGTGGAGAGCGTCATCCAAACCGTAGAGCACCTCGTCAGCATCACCTACTTTTCATCCCGCAAGGAGTTTTTCTCGGCGATAATATCATGCATAGACAGTGAGTGACGACGCGTTGTGCAGTCCGACGCGACGTTGAATGTGCACGATAGCCCACCGTACCGCGTATTTCTCGCACAAGCTGCTTCATAATGACATCAATCCGCGTTCCGTCTGTCTGCACGTGAATGATCCAAGTGATGAGAGTGTCATACCGTTTTGGAATTCGGATGGAACGCCTCCCGTACGGCAAGCGATGCTCTGCGGATGGAGATTCGCAAAACACATGGACCCTGAACACAAGAAGACAAGTTTCTATAGATTCTCGGTGAGACCTCTGAGGACCTATATTATTTCAGCCACTAGAGGTTTTGTAGGAATACTTAGCAACAGAAATATTGTGGCACAAGAGTTGTTCGCCACGACGAAGACACGATCTGGAATCGTTCCTCTGGGTCATGCTTTCCATTTGCATCAATTTTATCGGGCCTTATAGCCAAAAACGCACGGTACTACCTAGCTGCGTACCCAACTGGCTGCAGCCAGATTGCCTGCCTTCCCATCGCCTAGACATATCTCAGGAGAGATTCCAGGTGGAGGACTGGTCTTCCACCTGCAGTGCGTGCTTTTCAGATTACTTCAACCATCCGCCTATTGTGAAAGGTCTTGCAAATCTCGCCTCAAAGCTGTCGCCTCCGGGCTCCTTGAAAATTAAACCCAATGGCAGCAAGTCTGCCACATTCCCGGAAAATCCTGTCACGCACGATGACATGATCTTAGTGCTGAAAGATATCGTAGCAGAGCTTCCAGTAGAACAACCACCGTCGGAAGATGATGTCCGAAAAGCAAGGGAAAGATATAGAAGTATACAGAGTTCAGTATCTTACCGCGCTCCAAATATCTACAACTGATCGCTATCGCCGATCCATATAGATGAGATAATCAACGCACATTCCTTCGTAATATTAGTACAAGCTTAATCATCATCTGGAAGGTGTCCGATCTTCTCGACGTCCAAAAGGATTGAATTCAACATCTCATGACAAATAGTGGCCTTGAGAAAGAGATCACATTGGCTTAGAATCGTCATTAAGTATATCAAACAGCCGAGATAAAAGAGAGGGCATACTCATTATATCCTGGGGGTTCAGTTCGTCTTTCATCTTCCCACATGTTTGCTAATCGTCTATCAATCCATATTGCACTAGGAACGGGCGATAGCCATGGGATTTCCGGCAGGTCCGCTTCATTACGAAGCATTGAATAGCGCGGACCAAGCGGAGGGGGGAAGATGGGACTATTCGGATTGAATCGCCAAGGAGACATAAACCGAATGATCTGCGACCGTCGATTGCCAATAAGGCGGGAGAATTTCTGGACAGCCCAGGCGGTATCAAGAGGTCCGCGTATATTCACAGAAGCAGCAGCAAAATCGGAAAGGAGGGAATGAGCCTTTGCAAGCTCAGCTTTGGTATTCACGACCAGTGTAGATAATGGGTGGTCCAAAGACAGCAAATCTGGGTGGTTGTCACCGACTGTGACAAATACGTCTCGCACCGGTACGTTCGTCTTGGTGTGTGACTGATGCCAGCAGGAACTTGCCCATTGCGAGATGATGCACACAGAAAAGATGAAGAAGGGGACGACCATGACGAGTTTCTCCCAGTATGTGTCAATTGAGTACATGACAACTGCGCAGCTGAGCAGCCATGCGATGTACTCCAAAATTGAAGTCTCGATGGCTTTTTCAAGTGCTAGCGCTACATGTCTGGGAAAAACCGCCAGGAAAGGTTGTACAGTGGTACGGCTAGTGAACAGAAGTATGAGCACGGTTGTTATGACTGGCTGCCAGCCTACTGGGGCCAGAAGATAGCAAAGCCCAGTCACAAATGTGGCATCTAGAGGATCATCCATGTTCTGAAAGACTGGCAGTGGTAAATGTGACGAGTTGTTTGTCCTTGCTAGAAGTTGAAGGTACTGGTAAACAGGCACAAATACGTTGAGCTATTTATGTACTGCAGGTTTTCGTCTCTGATAGTATATCGGTCAGTACACCCGCCTGTCAGGAAGCAGCCCGCGGGAGAGCGGAGTTCGATTCTCCGTCAGAGAGACATTTTTTGTACGTGAAAAAGGTATGTTTACGGATGCAACTTGTTTCTACATACTTAAATAAATGAATACTAGGTTTATGATTGATGGTTTAGTGGCAGTCTGAGGCCTGAGGAATCAGTAGAGTCTAAACATATCTGTGACCTGATCCGGTGTGCACTGATAAGGGGGGATTCCGGACATCAATGCATCATACACGTGTCTTGAGCGTCTAATGATACACGAAGCACAAAAAGGCCCGGTACACGCACCTCTCAAACTTAGATTAAGATTCAGGACGCCCGCACTCTCTCTAGCAAGTTGTGCTCAACACCATCCACCTCGAGCAGAATGACGGAAGCAGAACACCCTGCCATTCGAATCACCACCCCCAATCAAACATTTCAAGGTCATGAAAGTAGTCTCTTTGCAGTCGCAGTCTTCCCCGATAGACGCCGCATGGTGACGGCCTCGGCCGACAAGACTCTTCGTCTTTGGGACTTAGAAGACGGTGTTGTACTGAAGATAATGGAGGAGCATTCCGAACCAGTGAATGGACTTGCAGTATCAAGAGATGGGAAATGGATAGCAAGCGGTGATCTTGGTGGACAGATCATAGCCTGGAACAGAGACGGCGAATCTCTCACCCAGCCCATCAAAGTCCACTCCCAACTGATAGCGTCGCTCGATTTTTCCCCAGACAGCACATTGCTAGCGAGTAGCTCATTTGACACCACAGTGGAGCTTTGGAACACCAAAACATGGCAGGTGAAAGGAAGTCCAATCAGTTGTGGCGCTCCAATCTACTATGTTCAGTATTCACCATCTGGTGAATATCTTGCCATCGCAACCTCGTCAAATATCCAAATATGGAATCCAGGTAAAAGGGATTGCATCGCAAAGTTCGAGGGTCACTCTGCGTATGGAGCAGGGAATCGGTCATTAGCGTGGACACCTGATGGCAAACAACTTCTTTCGGCTGGTGATGATGATGATCCCACCATAAGGATCTGGGATTCGTCGACCTGGATGCAGGTCGGTGAGCCCTGCAAGGGCCATGCTGAGGATATCGTCATGATTGCCCTCAACCCTGCCGGCACCCTTTTCGTGTCCGCGTCTGACGACCACCAGGTTTACCTTTGGCGGCTTTCGGATCGACAAACCATTGCCATATTCAAACACACCGAAAAGTTGTGTTGCGTCGCCTTCTCCATGGATGGCAAGTACATCCTGAGTGGAGGAGAAGATTCTATTATCTCAAAGTGGGCAGTACCTTCGCTAGAGGAAGTTCTCAGGGACCAGGCAACAGATGTAAGATTCTGTTCATTTTTCATCCCTTTTTCATCTTATTTTCTCTGAGGATGCATTACAGGAAGACACTTTGAAGGAACATGCGGCAAATAATGTGAGTTCTTGTTCTTTGCTCGTCTCCTTGCTTATTGATCCTCAATCTCGATGCCAATGCTCGACAGCCTGAATGCGAGGTATATTTCTAGCTTTTACGCCTACCACTTAATTTGACCATGCATAATGCAGATCCTCACCATCAGCACGATAGCCCGCGATGCATGCATAGCCGGAGACTTGCTCACTGCTGACAAACTGTTAACACAAGATATCGCCGCCGATGACAATGACCACAAATCTCATGCGAATCGTTCGTTTGTCAAGGCAAGAAATTCAGACTGGGACCACGCACTTGATGACGCGCTCAAAGTGAGATGCACCATTTCGTCCTGACCTTTTCAAAACAGACCAACTTATATGGTGATACAGAGCATCAGTATCAAAGCCATCCTTGATGGGCTGTATATCCAAGGGCATCGCCCACTGTGGAAAAAAACAGTTCCGAGATGCGATGAAAGCATTTGACATCGCGTTCATGTACGTGGATGCAGACTTGAATAAAACTCGTCTTCTACTCTTGATTAAGGTATGTCAATTGTGTCTTATGCACTCGCTACTCACACGACAACCATTAGGCCATCGCCCTTTTCAATGCAAATCAACATGACGAGGCGATTCTGCGCGTCCAAGAGCTAGCTACCACTCACCCCGATCCAAATTCTCTTGCCTGTGGTGTCGTGGAAGTGAGTGCTTCTGACACAGTCAACTCCAGATTCATGCATCGATGCTGATTTTGCGAACCTCGCACTCCAGGCTTATCTACACGTCCAACTGGGAAAGAATGCATCACACGACGCACGTCACAACGAGGCGGCTGGCCACTTCACTGCTGCTGTCAACACTATTGATTTCTCGTCTGTGTCGGCCATCCACTCTAGATACGATATCTTCGTGGTGGTAAGGTTGATTGAAATGTAACCGGAAATATTTTCTTGTCGTCTCACTGTGCTTTTCTAGTTATTTGGGTGGGATCTGCGGTCTTTGTGGCGAAATGCACATCAGAATTGGTGCGATGCGCTCCTTCGGGCAGGTAGACTTCCAGAAGCCATCAAAGCATACCAATACATGATGGACAGGGTTGATGAGGCTACGAAATCACGCTGCCTTGATTGGTCCACTGGCGAGTCTTCTTGATGTAAACTTCGTATAACTCTCATCCTTATCTCACTCAGATTTCAAGCAAGATTGCAGCGTGCTCTATGCTGCTGCTGGAGTGACTGATATCATTGGCAGCGGAGATGCTGCCCTCGCTGCGGGTAATTACGACAAGGCTATCGAACTTTACTCTGCAGCGATCGACCTCGGTTTGGCAACAGATACAACCTTTGCGAACCGCGGTAAGGCAAGGTCGGGAAAAATGTTGTGGGATGACGCACTTCTCGATGCAAACAAGGTGCGATGACAGTTACTGTTTTCGTATTCGATACTCATTTTAGTGATATGCAGGTCATCGAACTCAACCCCTCATCTTACTCCGGATATCAGTTGAAGCATTCGGTACTTCATGGCGCACACCGATATGATGAAGCCATTCGAGGCGTTCAAAATCATGATCTCCAAGTTGGAAAATGCTTCCGACACGCAAACCCAAGGTACGCCTCTAAATGGCAAATCCTCTAAATATTGTTGACTCCTTGTTCCAGACTTGCGCCATCAGCATGTTAGTCCATCCGAATCAGAACGTGCTATTGAAGAGAGCATCAACGCTCAGCTCGACGACGCCCCGCATCGTCTAATCAACACCTCCACTGGGCGCTTATGCAATAGAGAGACCCAGATCGATGCCTTCAAAGCGAGCACGGAGTACAAGGAGCTTTTGTCATCCACACTGAAGGATGCAGATCTCCCAATGCAGCGCATCCGAGACGTGGTGGCGGTGTACTTCCGTTATGTCATGCTATCGCATAGGTGGGAAGGGAAGGAGCCGTTGCTGCATGACATCCAGAACAAGGTGGTGTATGACTTGGATCCAGTCGGCGGCATCGCAAAGTTGCAGTCATTCTGCAAAACTGCTCGTGATAAAGGGTATCGCTGGGCATGGATCGATACCTGTTGCATTGACCAGACGAACAATGTTGAGGTCCAACAATCGGTCAACTCCATGTTTGTCTGGTATCGCCACTCAGCACTCACCATCGTCTACCTGTCAGATGTTGCACCTTCATCGCAGCCTGGAGCACTCGCACGTAGCGTTTGGAACACGCGAGGATGGACAGTTCAAGAATTCTTGTCCCCAACATTTGTCTTATTCTATCAGAACGATTGGTCCCTATATCTTGGCGATCGCTCTCCCAACCACAAGGATTCCCTTGCAATCATGCAAGAGATGGGAAATGCGACGGGAATCAATGCACAGGCCCTCGTCGCCTTCCGTCCGGGGATGAGAGACGCCCGAGAGAAACTCCAATGGGTGTCTGCGCGTGTCACCACGTGGCAGGAAGATATCGCATACTCATTGTTTGGTATCTTCGGCGTCAACCTGGCTGTCATTTATGGGGAGAAGAAGCAAAAGGCGCTAGGGAGGCTCTTGCAGGAGGTCGTAGCTCAATCGGGCGACATCAGTGCCCTGGACTGGGTGGGGCAATCATCCGAATTCAATAGCTGTCTCCCGGCCGACATCACTTCATACAAAGCACCACCACACACCCTGCCATCTCTGTCTGAAGCTGACATTCAGAGATCAATCTCCTCGCTCCGACAAGTCATGGCTGTAGATTTGGTCCTAAAAATTTACGCCCGACTTGACAACTTGAGCGCGCCTCGTTTCGCGAACTGCAGACTGCATCTGCCTTGCATCGCATTTCGTATCACAGCAGTCAAACGGAGTCGCGCGGAAGACCAAGAGATATATGAAGTCAAAGCCGACGGGCTTGATGACCTGCTGATCACCACAAAGGACAAATTGAATCAGTTCTCATCACCACGACCCACTATGCAGACCTTATTGCTTGTTCGTCCGTGGAATCGTTATCTGCTCGAGCTTCCTCACTTTGTGGAGCCGTCTGGCTTGGCAGGGCTTCCTGACGTTGCTGACGACACGGACAGCGAAGAGGAGTATTGGTCTCCGCTCAGCTCTCCATTACAGAATTCGCCCGGCGAGTTCCCTGAGGCACAGAAGTCGGTCGATTCAGAACTGAGCGATCGAGCCTTGCGATTGATCGTTCATCTTAACCGGCCTTTCAACGCGTTTTTGCTAGTGCATCAGCGCGGCGGAGAATACAAGAGAATCGCGTCAGATCATGATATTATCGTGCAAGTCAAAGATCTTTCTTCTATTCCGGACATGGTCAAGATGCTAGAGATATTGTAGCGACATGCATTTTGGGTGTTATTCAAGTTTATATCAATAATCCACATCTCTGTCCGAAGATGAGATTCAGACTTCGGTCTCCTTACTGCGAAACACCGAGGCTACCGAATCAGCTTCAAAGCTTTATACCCTTCTCGATCAGATGAACGCTCCTCGTTCGCGAACTGCAGACTGCATCTGCCTTGCATAGCATTTCGTGTCACAACAGTGAAACGGAGGCATACTCAAGATCAAGATTCACATTCCGTGTGTGAAATCAAGGCAGACGGTCTTCATGACCTGCTAATCACCACGGACTCAGGACAAACTGATTCTGATGGTCCTCCTGGACATTTTCCACACGGCAGATGTTCTTCAATACTCGTCCGTCCATGGGATCGTGATCTCCTCGAGCTGCCTGATTTTGCGGAGCTGTTTGGCTTGGCAGGGCTGCCTGACATTGCAGACAACACACAGCGAGGAATATTGGTCTGCGCCTCCATTATAGGATCCACGTGGCGGGTGCTTTGAAGCAGAGCAGCCGGTTGGTTTGGAATCGAGCAAGCGAGCATTGCGATTGATCGTTCGCGCTATTGGAGAATTGGACTCGTGGCTGGTTGCATCACCAAAATTACCGAATCCAGAGATGGTCATATATTACCATGTCGGAGCCACCATACCTGCCATATGTATCTGGCGCAAGGTCTCAATGTAAGGCAATGTTAGGAAACTCAATTCTGACATTGCGACTGCCATATGACTATAGTCTGGCATTAGGCTAGTGTACCGATATATCAAACATTGCTATGTACACAATGCATTTAAATTTCACTCAGATTCATCAGACATTGCAATTGCGTTCGGATATAACAATGTGATGCATTAAATTAATGGTAGTACAAAGCAGTGAGGTACAATTGAGTGTATCGTTCTGAGCTTATGTATACGAATGTGGTAATCGAGAATGGACACTAGAACAGGAATATGAGCGATCTATGAGCAGGTTAATGACACCTAAAACAATACCAAAAAAAACACTCACCCACTCCAACAAGTAGCCACCAAGCACGTCTGGTCATTGTTGTAGTCTTGACCTGGTGGGTCTCCGGCCCATAGACATGCGAGAAGTCTGAATGCGGTCAAGTTAACCTTCGCATTGAATGCTCTGCGAAGTGTTAGATTAACGTGAGATGAATTTCAAAAAAAAACTCACTTGTCGGCGTCCTCTGAAAATCTCTGATCGGACAGAAAAAGCATGCTAGAAGGACATTTCAGTCCATGCGAGTAGACGATGCTGGATCCATCTGATGGATGAGATAAATACATAATATATACTTATATGCGCATACACTCACCTTTTTGATGATAATATTGAGCTTGGTATTTGAGGCCCTCTTTGGAGGTACAAGGGCCACGGATGATACTGAGTTCGAACTACGCGAGGATACTTACTGATGAGCCTGATGAGGCAATTGAGTTAGAGCGTTTACGACACGCCATGATGATGGTGGGGGAAAGAAAGATAAAATCGAAAGATTAAGGAAAGACAAGCAAAGATCGAGTGTGGCATTATTGACGTGTTGTTTGTGTTAATAAACACAGTCATGTGACCGTCATCTACGGAAGTTTCAGTTAGTACCAGTCCGTTCATACCACCAATACAAGCACTATGCACGGCTTCACATTACGCGAGTTGCTCAGGCGCTGATCCTGCCCTCCAGACTTCGTTATGACGTTCATCGCTACATGCTCACCACTAGGTGCTTTGTTTGACGAAGCTTGCACCAGTCCCTTGCAAGCTGTAGAGGTGCGTGTATTGTCCGTGTTTATACTGCTTCATCACGCACAGCTAGGCTTTGATGAACAGCCTCAGCGGTGTAAGGATTGAACATCCTCTACGCACGGACTATGAGTCTGACTAGGCGCTCGAAGTTGTCCACGTGACTCGCCGCATCCTCTTCGTATCCGAGCCATGCCACTTTCCATTAAACTTACCTTGTGCTCTCAAAGATGCAGAATGGCAAACCCGTTATTAATCTCTACTTGGATGCGAAGACTTCTTCTGCGGGAAAGTTTGTCTCTGTTCGCCTTCGAATTATATGGAACTTTGATAGCAGCATTTCAGGTATATCGGCGTTTTCAGATCACATTTACCACTGCAGCGAGCGCAGCTCAGTTTATCGATGCCGTCCGACCAGTTTGTCCTTGTAGATTGAATCCACAACCGCAGCCTCTGGTTACTCGCATCCCTCCTGTAGCTACGACAGGCCTTATTGATGACATTCCCCGTCAAGGTACTATACGCACAGCTGTTTCACAAGCTCGGCCATCAATGAGTGGGGCTCCGTTCAGACTCGCGCCGACTACACTTCTTTCAGGAAATCCATCATCCGAATCTAGTTTACCAGTATTCGCACTATCGACGCCAGTTGATTTTACTCCTGTGGCTCTGAGCAGCAGTTCTATGAAAACGACATCCGTGACTACACCATCTCATGACGGCACCTTCGTTATACCTACAGAAACACCTCGGATAATCCTCCCAAAGTCCACCCAATGCCAAGCACTGTCTGGCTCCATCTACTCTACCAAAGGCTCTTTACTTGATTCTTCCCAACCATCCTCGTCTACTCTCAGTAGTCCGAACATGATGCCCCCGCCTCCACTGCCCTCGAGCGTCACATGATCTCTTCAATGAAGTTCAATCGGAAAGTCGACTATCAGAAGTTTGTAATTCAATTCGAGCCCAGCTTGTTGCATCAGTGACTGCATGACACTCCGGCCCTTCACAAGTTATCCCATGCAGAACTAGAATCCATCGTAGCACAAGTCATCGGAGAGGAAGGTTTTGCTCAACTGGTAAGCGTTCTCGGAGTCGTTGAATCAATAAACCATAACCCCAGATGACGCTGCTAATCAGATTCCCCAGCTTGCTTCCTTGGACACCATGTGGAGAGTGAAGGGTTTTTTTGGTCAATAATACCTGACAGTCTTGAACGCTACCCATTTATTGTTATCCTTTGGAATGCTGCCTTGTATATGTATAAAGTCTCTTCAATCACGGTCGTTACTATCAAGCACCTATCTCATACCTCGCTTCCATTGATGTACCAACAACTTGCAATTCATGAACACTTTCCACACCGACACTAGTGCTCTGGCGGCGAGCGCCCTTTAGGTACTTTACTTCAGTTTCACTCATTTTTCGTTGTATTACTCTATATAATACATTGGATGTATCTGGATATGTCTGATATCTAGCTGACAGCTACTCTACTGGATGACTTGTGTCTGACAGATGGTATGTTTGATGTCATTGTATCGCTACAATATTTCAAATGTCGGATATCACAGGTATGTGTAATTGGCGGCGTCAGAAAATTCAATATATCATGTGATCTCTGGATTTGGTAATTTTGGTGATGTGAGGGGGTGTGTTGAAGAGATAAGTCGTCCTCTGCATTCGGACAGATTAACGTTGCATTTGGCTATTGGGCAACCTCACCACTTCGTCGTATCATGTGCTTCATTCTTGGCACCATATGGTTACCTTCTTCTTGACATTCAAGCTCTGTCTTTCCGTATCCTACAACAGGCTATACTGTGAGAATGATACATTATAAAACTAGTAATGTCAGTGTGAGGGTAATACATGAATCATTGAACTACCGAGAATTACTAGGAGGTATAGCAGTGATGTATCAGTGGAGGATCTTACCAAGCAGCTACCAGTCCAGCTTCTTGGCTTCCGAATCAAGCTTAGTCAGCATGTACCTTGCTTCCTTTTATTTTTATCCTGTCTTCTATGCATCTTTTGATTTGTCAGCACCTATTTTTAGTTATACTGGTGCCGGGTCATGCAGCCTGCCAGATAATCTATTTTTATCCTATCTCCTATGCATCTTTTATTCATCAGCACCTATTTTCAGTCACACTGGTGCTGGGTCATGCAGCCCGCCTCGTTCGTTCAAATTCTTCAAATCCCACCTAGTCACCACTCCCTTTATCTTAGACGTCTGATAGTTGAGTGTTTCACACACCATAATTACTTTAGATATTTCTTTACAAAAAATATTGTCATATTAGCGCTTATCAATTCCTCAGGTGACTCGAACATGTTCGAATTTTGTGAGTAGGTACTATCCCGCCCTCCCAACGGCTCCACCATGCTTGTGTACCACCCCTGAGCTAGTAACGCTGGGCCCAGCCCAACCTTTTAGAACATGTGACCTAAGATCTATGTATAGAGATCCGAGTCAGTAATGTATCAGTTGAACTCAAACACTGCAGAAATTCGACTAAGTCCAACCTTGAGAAATTTGGCCAAGTCCACCAAGTCAAAAGTCAATACTTCTCGGCTGTGAGCTTGGGTGGTTCAGTCCTTATTATGGGTTTTCCATTCATACAGAATTAGATGACGGACTCAGAATGAGGCATTGATGCATTAACACGACGGACTCAAGCAATACATACAATGTAGTACACGAGGAAGCTGATTATGGTACACTAACGACCGAAAGAGATGAAAGAATGAGCTACTGTGAGAGGTGAATGCGGAAACAAATGTTGGAGTTTACCGACAGGCAAAGACTTGTCACTAAGAGGGCTGTGGCTGGGCATATTGTAGTACTGGGAAAAGAGCAGCTATGAATGAACACAAAAGAATTTACCTAAGTTGTACCTATTGCATTGGCAGCAGCCACCCGGGATGACTGGAAGCATTGTTGTTTACCTTGGCCTCCCTCAATGGGCTGTGAGTTCTCAGTGGGTAGGACCACTGCACCCTGCCTCTTCTGATGCTTTGCAGAGACTGTCTCATTGCTCTTCGTGGACTTGCGTTTAGCAGCCTTCGTTGTCGCTGGTAACACCCCACCAACTGTGGCGGGCAGAGAAGGAGTGGCCATAATAGGTTCCATGGTGGGAGGTTCAGGCACAACTGAAGATGGTTGCACAGAAGGGATTTCTACCGAAGTTGGAGTATGCACGAGAGTAGGAGTTGCCATGGGAGCAAAGGGATTGTTGTATGGGGCAGAAGCGTAAGAATTGGCATGTGCAGTCTTTGTGAGAATGGATGATATATGGCAAAGACGAGGAGGAGACACTTGGCTCTGCAAAGTTGTGAGGGCGTTGTCAGAGTCATGTCCCAAGGGACCAGCAGAATTAAGGTCTGCCAATCTCGAGGTGGAAGTTAGAGGAGATAATCTTGAGGAAGCAAACCAATCCATTCAAGAGGAAGTGGGCAAAAACTGTATTGGAGAAGAGGGAGGTAACGGAGATGGTGGCTTGTAGTTGGGCAGCATCGGTAGGATTGTACTGTTGAAGTCTAGATCAACGTCGTCATCTTGAAGATTGGGGGGAGCAAATTGGAAGAAGTTGTAAGCGGATTGCAACCAGGATGGTACTGATGCCATGAATGATGTATCGAGTGTGGAAGTGAACGCGGAAGAGACAGTAGTGAGTGATGTATCAGGTGAGACAGTAGCAAGTGATGTATCGAGTGAGACATCGAGTGTGGAAGTAAATGCGGAAGAGACAGTAGTGAGCAATGTATTGGGTGAGATAGTAGCAAGTGATGTATTGAGTGAGACAGTGGCAAGTGATGTATCAGGTGTGGAAGAGGATGCGGAAGGGATGGTAGCCAGTGATGTATCAGCTGTGACGGAGTTATGGGAGTTATGGGCTGGCAGTGCCTGTGTGTCTGGCAGTGATGTATCATTCTGGTCAGGCATGGTGGTTCCCTTTGATAACAATAATGCAGCGTTGGCTACATCTTGATCAGCTTCAAACAGAGACACCAACCATTAGACGACTCACGAAATGCTCGAGATGCAAACTCAAAGTAAGGCACCATGATACTCTCCTCGAATTTCGGATATGCTTGATTGAAGTGATTGCCAGCAAGGGTTGTTCCAATATGCAGGCTACTGACATCGAGTTTGCCGGCATTCGCAGGGTCAGGACCAGCAAGTAAGACACTGAATGTCCATCCTGTCGAATCGTGCAACTCAGTGAAAAACGTGGACAGAATTTCTGTAAGTCTGCATATAACCCTGCCTACCATCAGTGATAATGAAGTGAGATAGTCAGCGTCACTCACAACTCCTTCGGCACCTCCTTCTTGTCAGGAATGGCTTCTTTCGCTTTCTCCCTCTTTTCCTTCATCTCTTGGGCCAATTTCGTGACTTCTTCCTTCACCTGTGCACTTTCGTTCTCCCAGCAGGATGCTAGTTGTTTGCGGACAATCTGAATCACCCGCTTTTTGGGTTCCGGTGCGTCAACTGCGTTCTTCATGGCATCGAGTTCCTCCTTGACTGCAGGCTGGATATGCGATGCATAATACTTCTTGGCATAAACCTCCGTTGCATTGAGGGGGCGCAATTTCTTCTTGCCTGACTTGATGGTGATATCGCCAATCAGCTTGCTGACGATGGTATTCCCAGCGGTGTTTGCCCGGCGGCCTATCTTCGAATTACCAAAGTCATTGTGTAGTTTGACCATCAAATGCTAGTTACATACATGATTAGCCAATATTTCAATACATTAATTAGGATACAAATCTTACCGTCTGAAGGGCATCCCTTGCCTTAGCTATCTGCTCGAGTCTTGCGTTCTCATCAAGGGGCTCTAATGAGTCTTCCAGAGTGATTGGCCAACATTCTTCCCACTTCTCGAAAAAGGGGGGCCAGAAATTGTTGTAGTTCCCTTTTTTTTTGCACTCGAGAAAGTTTTCATGGTAGGCGAGCACAAATGTTTGCTGCTCCTCCGAGAGCCAACTACATGGTGCCATCTTAAATGACTACTCATCAGTGTACTAACATCAAGGTAATCTACACGTACTTTTACTGATTTGTCGCGTCACGTGAGATGCTCTAGATAAAAGTTAGACACAAAATGAAAAGGATCAGTCAGACGCGTACTGATTGCTTCAGCCACAGGCGCGATGAGTACTCCCAGAAATGGTTGTCCCATTGCGCCATGACCAGACCAATAGACTCGGAGACAGTACATGATATCTTCGCAGAAAGATTTGCGCATAGCATGTTTCACACTGTTTGTTGTCACCAATCAATAGTCCCACAGACATAGATAGAAGTGCATGGTACTAGTACTAGGTAGTAGGTACACTAGATGGGGAACTTGTATTCCTGGTACCACAATTCACCCACCATGAAGGCAACCACTAGTTCACTATCTCCGCCTTCCGCCAGACGCAACAAGATGTCTTCCACCATCCCTACCATTTCCCTCATGAATTTGCAGATGGCATCTGCAGCACGCCACTCATCACAAATACTGCACATCTGAAGGATACCATCCAGTCCACCGTTTGCTCTGTCAATAAAATTTTCGAAATTCTCAATAGCGTGTTCGAAGATAGATTTGTCTCCGCGCCCGGTAGGATCTAACTCGGGGTCAGGCATAGTCTTGGAGTACTTGTCCATGAGAAGGTCAAAGAATCGTCGTGGAGATTTGATGTGCGCCATGAAGTCGTCCTTGGCATACTTGACTGCAGCAATGCAGTCTTGTAAGGTTTCACTGTTGCCAATGTCAGTTACATTGAGACATGTAAGTCAAACCCGCACGACATTGGTTCATCTTCGTCATCCAAAGGATTGTTGACCGGACAATGTTTTTTTTCTTTGCGTACCTGACGCCGCTTTGCTAGTATAGCCTCTCGACACCTGGAATTCTCGATTAAAGCGACTCAAAGACACCGTTGGTGTATTGCTTACTTTAGATAGTGTCGTATATGCTTGTCTCTTGCAGCTTGTACTCTATCTTGATGAGTTTTATGAATAGTCGGGCGTACCATAATGAAGAGCAGTGAAAGTCAGAGGGAAGAATGCAGCATTTAATACGAAGTACTCACATTTGTTTGGACCAAAACAATGAGTCTTCGATTTCTCAATGAAGCACACATGTCGATGATGGTCGGACCATAACACATGGTGCGTCGAGGGACCCGCTGCCTCAATGAAATGTTGATATAAAGATACCTATGTGTATGAATCAGTATGATATGTATTGCAGCAAGTACTTACATTTGTTTGAACCAAACCTTTTTAATTGGTGAATGAAGCACCTGCGAGGATGTGTGAAGATGGTCGGACCATAACACAATCTTAAGACATTGTGACTGAGAGAGACCTGCTAGCTAGGTAGAATGCTAGTGGAAAGATAACTGTGAGTGTGATATATGTTACGGTAGTGCTGCCTCACGAGAAATATCATTCTGGACTTGCCTAGTGTTCAAATGCCCAAGTCCCCCTAAGTTCTAGTAAAGTCAGTAACAAGATCGTCCGTGACAAAGGTTGAACCGATAATCAATCAACAGCAACTAGTCGTGCAGATATTGTAACAAGACAGCTAAGCAGGATGACTTGTAGAGTGACATGGTCCTTCACTGAGAACCATTCAGCTAAGATACAGGCTTGCAATGGCAAGAATGGTATGTTGTAGGATGCGGTAGGACCAAAACATAGAATTAAGTGTTATTAATAGCTAGCCTATGGCACATGGGCTATTTTTGAGTGGACTGTGCTTCCAAAGGTGTTCTGTTCAAATTTTCACTGTGCTCCTCTGCTCGCTCGAACAAATATAATAGCTTGGTATTGACAATTGCGCAGTGTGACTACTAAGACTAGACTACCTGTGCCACCTCACCATGTTCTATGGTGCGCTTCATAATCCCAATACCAAGCTCAAGAGATTCTGCCTTGTGATATATGGCGCATGAAACCCCAAGCACCTTGGGGCCAGTAGCATCCCTGTCCAAAATGAATTAGTGAATGAAATGAACGGAGCACGTCTAGACTTACCATCCTGAGAAGACCCCAATATAACGACCCCTCATTATGTAGTACAGTGGGGCCTTGACTTCAATGGGCACATTGAAGTATGTAATACTGAAGGGTGGAGTTATCAGCGAGGGACATAACTGCATTAGCAGGATCCTCATCATCAGATGAGTCTTCCCCGTCATTAAGCATGAGGATGATGACGGGCTCATGCACATGTCCTATGGCTGGGGCAGGGGCAGGAGCAGGAGCCATGGTAGTAGAAGTCAGGGAATGAGCTGCAACGATGGCAGGGAAATCATCTGGAGCAGATATAGAATCTTCACTGCCCAAAGGACCTGTAAGATTGGCAACAGGCCCTGCGACATTGTTAAAACAAAATTAGTAATAATGAATCAAAGAAACAGGTGGATCCACCTTCGGTAACATTTGGACTGGTGCCAGCCTGCAACGCAGCTGATGAGGCCGTCCAGTCGAATGGACACCATAGTGTCCGTCTGACTGGAGGGAGATGGGCTTTGAGTCATCTTGACGAGGCTGTATATTGAGTGGAGGAGGATGCGAAAAGTGAATGATACATTACTCACCAGGACAGGTATTTATGCAGCAAGTGCTATCGTAATTTTTGATCCTCAAGAACACATTGCAGCTACTAAGTCCAGAGGAGGAGTGGTATTGACTTATGGACAACTCGGACATAGCGGTGTGAAGAAAAGATTGGCTGACTAAGCTCATGCGGATCAACAGTGACTCCGTCATTAACGCCATGATCGAGATCGTGCGGATCATTCACCTTGCCATTGTTCATGCCATGATCATGATTGAAGCTTTGATTTCTGTTTCGGACGCAGCTTATATGGTGTCTGCTGCAACAGGCAACCAGCTTGTTTCTACTCTGAGGACGGTGAGTTTTGTGCCCAATAGAATCATTACGTGGAGCATTTACCTCTTGAATACTAACACGTGCAACTCTATGTTCTATTCCGAGGCCAGTGAGTCTTTATTCTCCTTGCCATTACATGGAGTATTTACTTACTGCTTGAAGTATCATGATTCTCCATGCTTCTTTTTGGCTTTGGAGTCTTGAATGCTGGCCCTGGTCGATGACTGTTGGACAGGTGTAATGTCGCAGGGACGCTCAGCCAAGAGTTCCCGAATTGAACGTACTCATTTCATACCCTCCATCACTAATACTCCACTGTTACAGTTACGCACAGGAGGAATCACTACTCAGGGTCGCACCCAACTACACACACACTATGTTCCCACTCCCTCTCTCTCCATTTTTGACTCCTCAGATGCTGGTTCTGATGCAGGCCCGTGGGATGGTTGGGATGAATTGTCCGTGGAACAAGAGGAACCACAAGAAATTGATTGTTGGCCATCGTTTGACAAATGCAAATGCACTGCTGCAGTGAGTACTGCCACTTATTGTTGTTATCCTTACTTGACAATCATGCCTCAGGATACACCACTGTTAATGTGGATCCCCGAGCGTTAAGCTTTTCTGGATGAAATGCTTCGCTTAGAGGGTCGCGGAACTCCCGAAACTCTATGTCGCTGTGGTCTTGCTGCTCCCCGTTTCTGATGTCGCGACTGCTTTGGCATGCAGATGTTTTGCCACGAGTGCATCCTCCACGGCCACACAAGGGATCCTTTGCACAGGATTGATGTATGTAAATATTTTTATTGCTATATCAAAAACTGACAGTTGCCTATAAGATGTGGAACGACTCATTTTTCCAGCCCACCACTCTGAAAAAATTGGGTCTATGTGTACAGCTAGGTCACGCCCCAGGTGACAGGTGTTATAATCCTCATCCCTCTTCCAGTGACGACTTTGTCGTCATTGATGTCCACGGCGTCCATGAGATTGCCCTCGACTTTTGTGGGTGTGCGAGTGCTCAAATTCGCTACAAACAGCTACTCCGCACACGCTGGTATCCAGCAACCACATCAGACCCTCGCACTGCTGCGACATTCGCTCTAATGGAACACTTCCACCTTCTATCATTCGAGAGCAAAGTGTCGGCCTACGAATTTTACCACTCACTGGCAAGACAGAACAACAATGCTGGCCTGTCAGTTATAAAGGTATGTATTTAGAAGATATGATGACTACGGGATACTGACATGAGACATTAGGATCGCTACTCTGCATTCATGCGCATGGTCCATGAGTGGCGCCATCTCAGGCAACTTCAGCATGCAGGGAGAGGAAATGACCCCAATGGCATTCATGCCACCACCGCGGGTGAATTGGCTGTGCAGTGCCCAGCATGTCCCCACCCTGGCAAAAATATACCGCAAGGCTGGGAGGACGAGCCACCATGGGTTAGGTCAGTCTCAATTGCCGATTACAACAGTGTCTTTAGGCTGATGATTTATTTTTAATCCAGGTAGAAATATGCGCTGTTTATTGCAATTGACGCCAACTTCAGGTTGAAACGCAAGGCAGTGTCATCAGACAATGTAGACCCTAGCCTCAACTCTGGGTGGGCATATTTCATTGAGGAGGCTGCCTATAAGGCATACTTGGCCCATCAAGTTGGCGTCAAGCAAGATGTAAATATACGCCCTAATATTTTGTGCTGTGACTCATCTGACTAGTACTATACAGCGCAGTACATGTGTCAGTCACAATGCCATCAATCTGGCAGATATGAAGTCTTCATATGGTCTGGCCGCCACAGGTGTTGGTACAGTAGACTGTGCCAGGCATGACATGAAGCTCGCCAATGGTGTCGGAGATTTACAGAAGGGTGAAAAGTGCGTTGTACTTTCATCTTATATCATGCGCATACTAAATGATTGATTTGCTGTATATAGATATATAAACATGGACTACCTTGTTTTCTCAGCGCTGTTGGCCTTCACGGTCATCATGATCAACATCTCATACGACATTGCCTGTCAATGGCATAAGAAGCTCTGGGCACATATGGAAGGCATGCCATCAAGATTTCACATCCCTCGCGACTCAATGACCATCTGATTTTTTGTGCCGAAGTTTCATCTGAAGGTGCACATCGATGAATGTCAAAGAAACTTTTCATTCAATTGGTCAAAACACGTGGGACAAACAGATGGCGAGGCTCCCGAGCGTGGTTGGTCGAATATAAACCGGGTTGCTATGAGTACAAAGGAGATGGGTCCAGGATCGCGTCAAGATACCCTCGACGATCATTTCGGGGATTGGAACTGGAAGAAAATTACGGCGCTGGGTCTGTTTTTTCTCTGGTGAAATATCTTGTACTTATCTGGGAATAGGTCGTACACTCTTGCGCAAGATCCGCAACACCATTAAGTGGAAAAAGGAGCATGAGGAAGGACTAGCAGAGCTAGAGAGGACCATTCAGCCAACGCTCGTCCTTCAGTGGAGGAAAGAAGTTGAAGCTTGGGAGGAGGACAACTCTCAACCTAATCTGTTCGAGAGCCGCTATGCTCATGAGTAATGCTATCTTTTAGAATTCGTGAATTAATGTCTGGCAGCTATTACACAAGCCGCAGTTCATCTACAGCTCGCTGAGCTTGAAGCCCATGAACTTCAGGCAGGGATCAACGTCTCCCTGCATACCGACATTTCCCCAAGCAGATTGATCACCGCTGGCATCGATCTTCAAGACCAACAGTAAGTTTTTTTGTTCAACAAATCAAGTTCGCTGCAATAACAACATCCCAACAAGACAGCACCTGAAGACGGACATTGCCAATGCATCTCTTCACCCCACAGACAAGCAGAAGACTACCATGCAGACCCACATCACCACCCTTCACCGTCGACTGGATGCCTGGGCTTGTGTCCAAGAACTATATATGCCCATTGTGTCCCAGCTTCATCATCGATCTTCAGAAGCTGGCACGACAAACACAGCGCAGCTAAAGCCTGAGGTGTTCAATCTTTGGCTCCCATCTGAACTCCAACCAACAGTAGGATGTGACGACAGGCTGGCTGCACACAAATGGGATCTACAGCACGCACAAGCACTGGATGCCCTTAACAAAGTCCGTTCACATCTCCGCCTTTGGTCTCACATGTATATCTACAAAGATAGAAATGTGCGTGGACAGGCCGCTTCTACCCGCGCACAGGCTCTCATCGAAGGCGTGGAGGTGAGGAAATGCGCTAGTGTTGACAAGTATCGGTGTGCGCGTAATGCGCTGTTAGCTCTCAGCCATCGACTCAATAGGTCTGGCTGGGACATATCCCTTCCACCACTCCTGGACTCACAAGTGAGGCCTATGGGCGACATGGAGAGACAAGGCACTGGTACTATTTCTTGGATCTGGCTGGACTCACATGTGGACAATAGTAGCTCAGAAAATGAGCGAGTTCAGGATTGTAAGTCTGCTAGCTCTAGTTTGATGTGGTATACTGACTACATCTGATAGCTGTTCGAGTGGAGTGGTGCAAAGCGCGCGCACGTGCAAACCGCTGGTCGGAGGAAGTTGAACTCCTTTTTGAGGAGATGCGAAGAGTTATCGCATTCTTGAGGTGGCAGGCAGAGTGGTGGAGTGAAAGGCATAGTTCTCGAGTCCCAGAGTCACCAGCAGAACAGGAAGGACTGGCTGCATATGCATGTCGACAGGCTGCGCTGCGTCTGTCTCTCGTGGCCTCCTTTCAGGACCTATGGAAAGATGTGCCGATGTTCGTAAGTGCTGCCATGGACATTCCACTGGACAGCGACAGCAAAGATGAACCTACCATCGACACACGGCCTCAGTTGCACAGTTGATACATCACCCATGTACAGACATTAATACATCAATATATTCATCTTGCACTCAACCGTCCAAACATAGCTTGATCGCGAGGAACGAGATCAGGATCACAAGGTACTGACTACATAGAGATCTCCAAGATCAAGAATGTCAGGTACAAACAACATATGAGATCTGTAGGATCGAGAATGCCGAGAATGGCCTTGATTCATGTTCTATGCTCAGCCTATTAAGGGATTATACAGTCCAGTACATTGATGTATCAGCGGTCCTACAGCTCAGAGCGATTCGTGTATCACCCTTTATTACAGGTATGAGTACTTGATACATTACTCCCACAGCTACTTGTGCCTACAAGTATCTTGTCTTGTCGTCGTTTGCGTCCCTCAGTTGCTTATCAATGCTGAGGTACGCGTATTGTTTATCTTGCTCTGAGCCTCGTACTTACTTGATCCTAGCGCGCTACTTTCTAACAGGTACATTAATTGTGAATACAGTTGTTGCTTATCAACGCTGAGTGCACTACTTTCTAACAGGTTATGAGCCCTGTGTCTTAAACAACACAGAAACCGGAAAGATAACGAATCCCTCACGTTGGAACAACTCAAATCCTCTTTTCCTTGCTCAAATTCACTCTGCATGTTGTCCCAATGATGGGAAAGTACAACCACATACCAGAGTTGACGGGAGCAGAAAATTACATTCCCTGGGAGATGCAGGCGCAGCTCGTCTTAATGAACGATGACCTCTGGTGTCATGTCACCGAAAATGCAGATCCGAGCGACATTCTCGGAATGGCTTTGGTCTTGCCTGTAGCGGCTGTCCCAACAACTCCTACTGATGCCGAGAAGGCAGCTATATGAGCCTGGCTCATCAATGACTCTAAGGCTAAGACAATCATCCTCTGCAAGCTCGCACCAAGTATTCATCTTCTAATTCCCCGCAACACTTCGATCACAGCTTGTGACGCGTGGAAAATTCTCAAAGACCACTTCCATCGTAACGACGTCAGCTCTCAATTTGTCATTCAAAGGCGCATACAGGCACTTTGCATGAAAGATGCGCATGATGCAAGTAACTACGTCGGTCAGCATATTAGTTGCTGCAATCGCCTGATTGGCATGAGTGCTGCTTATTCTGACGAAGAGGCTGTGTTTAATCTCCTTTCTGGGCTTCCTACATCTCCCGCCTGGCAACTGTTCCACACGCAACTCGAACAATGCATGCACGATAGTTTTTCTGCCACTGTCGTTAGTTCTGCACTCAGCAGCGGGAATCCCATTTTGGCCTCCTTCCAAACGAATGCTCTCATGTTCGAGAGTTGCACCGCACGCATCACCGCAGAGGCCTCACGCATGATCAACACCCATCCCACTGCCGCATCCGGGCCCGGATCTGAGTACGCCAACTCTGTGTCCACCTCCTCCGCTTCCAACGTTAACTCTATCACCGGATTGCGGAAGCACAAGAACAATCCTCAAGGAATCTTTTGCTTAACGACCGGATGTGGACGTGGGGATCACGACAAAGAACATTGTTTTTGTGAAGGTGGAGGAATGGCGGGACAGGCACCCTGGCAGAAGAAGAAGAAAGAAACGGCTGCAGTAGCATCAGTCACTCCTCCCACTCCTTCACCGGCATCATCCAATCCACCATCCGCTGTTGCTGCACTAGCCACACACATACATGACCTGTCATGTGCGGGCATCGAGGAGCTGCCTGACGATGTCTCTGCCCACACTCATGCGCTATCCACCATTCTTGACTCCGGCACCACTAGCACTCTCATCAGTGACCGCGCCATGTTCTGGACTTACTCTACTCAGGATCCCGTTGTTGTCAAAACGGCCAACCACGGGTCTCTTCACACATCCGGTCGCGGTGATTGTGTCGCATGGCTTAAGATTGGGGGTACTCGACATCGAGTTCAGTTCTCGAACTGTCTTCATGCGCCGGGAGCCATGTTGAACCTTCTCTCAGTAGGGTGGATGTTGGCAAAAGGTTGGGAATGCAACTTTCGGGGTGAGCCTTCTCATTGTGAGCTTATGTACAAAGGAGAATCTCTCGGCTCCATTCCTATGTCGGGACGTCTCTTTTATATCAATCTCGAGTTCATCCCTCCTTCCGAGTCAACACCTCTCACATCTGAGCCGTCAGAAGTCTCTGCTTTTGCATGTATTCCACTGACTTATGACATCTGGCATGCACGCATGGGTCATACCAGAGGAGAATCAGTCCGTCGCCTTCCTCTCATTGCTCGTGGTGTTACCTTAGACTCGCACAACGCCATGTCATGCTGTGAATCATGTATCATTGGCAAGCACCCATGGCAGCCTCATCCCACATCGCAGTCTCCTCCTGCCTCCCGTTTTCTAGAGCTCATTCATTCTGACCTGTGTGGTCCCATCCCGGTTCTCACACCTCACCACAAACAATACTTCATTATTTTCCTTGATGATCACACGGGAATTCTCGCACTTCAGCTTCTGGCCACCAAGGACCAAGCTTTAGAGGCATGGAAGATTGTTCGCACAAGATGGGAGACTCATTCGGGTCTGCGTGTTGTCGCCTTTCGCTCCGATAACGGTAGAGAGTTTCTCAATGATGCGTTTACTGCTGAACTACACGTGGCTGGGATAGAACGTCAACTCTCGGCGCCATATTCCCATCAACAGAATGGACAAGCGGAACGCGTGCTTCGCACAATTGAGGGAAGGATGTACGTGATGTTAAACTATGCACGGCTCCCATGTAATCTCTGGGGAGAAGCAGCGCTAACAGCAGCATATTTATTCAATCGCACAGAGTCTCGCGCATTACCTGCAGGTAAAACACCGTATGAAATGCTACATAACGCTAAACCCAACCTCTCGCACATTCGTGTCTTTGGTGCGCGGTGCTTCGCTCGGATACCCTCCGAACTCCAGGAGAAACTGGGTCCAAGATCACGCGAGGCTATATTTGTGGGTTATGCCCCAGACGGGCATGCATGGCGCTGTTGTGATACGGCAACCGGTAGTTTCTTTAACTCCAGGGACGTTATATTTGACGAAACGTTCTCTGGTCGTCCTTTCCCGACTGACAGGGATGATTCGGACGATGAAGAAATGGCTCCTGCGCAACCCTCGACTCCTGTGAATCCGGCAGCTTCCTCAATTCCCACATCGTCTTCCACCCCAGCATCTCTTCCCACAGAGGCACATCGATCTGAATGTGTGTGCTTGCCCATGGCACATGGTCAAATCTTCCAAGAGCAGCTGGCATCCGATCATGAATGCTTAGCGCGTCAACATGAGTTGCATCAAGCACGCATTCAGGAGGTGCCTCTTGAGGGGGTGAATACTTTGCCTGATGCTACAGAAGGTACGACTGCTGATCCTGACGCCATTGTCCCAGACGAGGATGAAGTTGGCTATCCCCGTGTGCTCGCCAATCTCATTGCCATGGAATTCACTTGTGTCACCATCCGTAGCGATACTCGCCGAAATCCTCTCACCTCGGACTACAACATGAAGATTCCTCCTTCCACCTTCAATGAAGCAATGCAACGTTCGGACGCTAATGATTGGCTCAACGCCATGCGCAAGGAGATCAATTTAATGTCGGAGATGAACATGTATGAACTGGTGGAGCTTCCGGCGGGACGCAGGGCAATAGGATGTAGATGGGTTCTCGAGTTTAAGGAGGATGCGAAAGGTGGGCCTGTGCACAAAGCCCGTCTCGTTGCGCAGGGATTCTCGCAGGTACCAGGCATTGATTTCGGCAAGACATTCGCACCCGTCGCATGACCATCCTCCATCAGACTCCTTTCCGCACACGCAGCAGCTCACGACTGGGAGATAGACAGTTTCGACGCGAAGCGCGCCTTCCTGTGGGGAAAACTGCATGAAGACGTGTACATGCGCCAACCACCTGGCTTTGAGAATGGGGCAAGCTTGGTATGCCATCTCTTGTCTTCGCTCTACGGACTGAAACAAGCTGCATACGATTGGTATGAGCTCTTGCGTGCGGTTCTCATCCATTTGGGGTTCTTACGTTGCAAAGCCGATTATGCTGTCTTCGTGTATGACCACGTCAACACTGAGGGGGTGCACGTCATTTGCATCATCGCGTGGCACGTTGATGACGGCCTTGCGGGCTGTAACAACCGCAAGTTCCTTGACTGGATCAAAGGTCACATTGCAGCTCACTTTGGAATTGCGGACTTAGGGCCAGTTGTCAAGCATTTGGGCATCCAATATGTTCATTCACGCGCGACTCGAGAGCTTTGGATGCATCAGCAAGAGTACATTGTCTACCTTCTCGAGGAACATGGCCTTTGTCACTGTAATCCCGTCTCACTCCCAATGGACCCCGTCAATCCTTTCGGACATGACACAGACATTCACCCTCACATCGACAATCTCCCAACCGAATATCGCAAGCTTGTCGGTGAATTACTCTACCTCACAATGTATACTCGCCCCGATATAGCCCTCGCCGTCATGAAGCTGTCTCAGCACAATTCCGCACCTGAATTTTGGCACTACACTGCCGCAAAATGAGTCCTTCATTATCTTTCTGGTACCCTATCCCATCATGTGCACTACGGGGGAAAGAACGCGGACATCACCATCCACAGCTTCAGCGATGCTGACTGGGCCACTTGTCCAGAGGACTGCATTTCGATCACCGGGTACGTTTGGTACTATCATGGTGGTCCTATCTCGCATGCGGCGAAGAAGCAGACAACACAGGCCTTGTCTTTGGTGGAGTCAGAGTACATGGCACTAACAGGAGCGATCCAAGATGGACTTTGGATCAAGTCTTTCTGCGAATGCTTGAAGATCACGTTCACGCTGCCTCTCAAACTCTATGCTGACAACACGGGGGCTATTGCATTGTCGACAGAAGCCGCTAATCACATTCGCACTAAACACATCGACTTGCATTATCATTTCATTCACAAGCACATCAAGGCCGGTACCTTCTTACCCATCTGGGTGTCCACTCATCGTAACAGTGCCGATATCTT